CCATGTTACAGTTACTAACAGTTTATTTTGTGGTGAAAATAGGAAAGGAAAGCATGGTTTACGACTTTACTCGTGTCACTTTCCTTTTACTATTTTCTTCATGTGACAATAATTTACAATGAAATGAATACTTACTTCCTTTTGCAGAAAATTTATACCAATAAACAAGAGTCTTGACTCTCCAAAAGAGAGGAATAACTGAATATATGTCCTTCGCAATGTTTAAATAGACATACATTTGTGTATTTGAATAGAAATTTTCAAAGTTACCGAGGGTGTTGGGTTACCAGTGTACAGTATATTCATTATGTTGCGTATCTGCATTTATATCTTGCTGTCAAAACTTTAATGTCGGTTTTGGTGTATATATAAAGCTTACATACTACAGACAATAAAAATAAAGGGACATGGACACAGAATTTAAAATAAATCATTGTTTTATTAATTTGATGAAATATATGGAGATAACGAACAGTATTTAAGCTCAAAAGTCCATTAAACAATACAAAATAGGAGCAGAGCAAACACGGACTTCTTAAACATCAGAGGTGGGATCAAGTGCCATGTAGGAGTGAGCATCCCCCGACCGGTCACACCCGCCGTGTACTCCTTGTCATGATAGTGTGTAAATAATGGCCTAACAATAAGTGTGAAAAACGTCGGTCAGCATTTGACTCAATGATAATTTTTTCCTCGTTTTAGAAATTCTCAGTTGATTCGATACGCAAGAGCATGCTCTACGTATGTACAATTTCTAAAACGAGGAAAATTATTGACAAACAAGTTGATGAAACAAGAATATCAGCAGTCTCGTTTAAAGTCATCATTTCTTAAGTTCTATGGTCGATATAATGATCAGCAAATACAATTTATCATTGAGTCAAATGCTGACTGACGTTTTTCATACTAATTGTTAGGCCATTATTTACACACTGAATTGTCGACGGATTTTCCCGTTATTTCCTGATCATGACAAGGAGCACACGGCGGGTGTGACCGGTCGGGGGATGCTCACTCCTCCATGAGACCTGATCCCACCTCTGATGTTTTGGAGGTCTGTGTTTGCTCTGCTCCTATTTTTGTATTGTTTAATGGACTTTTGAGCTTGAATACTGTTCGTTATCTCCATGTATTTCATTTTTGATGTAATTTTATTACATTTTCTTTCTCATATACAGAGAAATACTTAAATAGAAAAATGCTAGAAGGACTTTATTACGTTAAATGAAGCCGAGATATATTTTCACACTGTGAAAAGAAAAGCATCAAAAATACAGGTGTGTGTTTCTGCAATTATTTTACGGCAATGAACTGTTAAATCTATTCTTTCATATTTTAACGCTCAGAAAACCAAAAAGCATTGAATATCCATTGAATATCCTTTTTTATACAAGAAAATATGCCTTTAAAAATCATCAAAACTTTATTAGAATTAATATAATAATGTAAAAGGTGAAGATTACGAACAGTGATTAATCTCATAAATCCAGTAAACAAAACGAATTGTAAACAGGACAAACACACAGACCCCCTTAAAACACCAGAAATGGGATCAGGTGCCTAGGAGGAGTAAGCATCCCATGTTGACCGGTCACATCTGCCGTTAGCCCTATGTATTAAATTGATCAGATATACGGATATACCGTAGTCAAATTTCAAATAAAAGCAACGACTTAAGAAATGGTATGAATCATGTCAAGCAAGTACGATCCAACGATAGATTGTATTTTCAGACAAGGTCATTATAATTTTAAAAAAATTTCAAAAAATTGACTTTATACGGTGTTGTTGAAATCTTCGTAACATTATCTTATTTGTTTAGTAGCCTGCCTCGCTTTAAAAATTGAGCATACTCAGTCCATATTCTTGCCTATGGAATCATTTGGGAGACATAAACACCATATTCAGGTGATTTTGGAACATAAAGAAGAGAAGTTGACGATGGAAAACCTGAAGTCATCCCTTTTGTCATACTGTTCATTATTAGTTGGCCTTTTTCATCTATAATAAATAAAACATCCAAAACTGAAACAGATGTGGCAAACTTTGTAGTGTCAGTTTATTTCAGTTCAGTGAGATATATTAAGTCGACATATAAATGAAAGTAACTATTGTTAATTGATAAAACGTCGTCGATATATCTTTAATGTCTAGATGATGGCCAAAGCAAGAGTTTTTTTTCTCATGTAGACGGTTATGAATAAATTCTGTTTCATAGGAATATAAAATAGGTCGACTAATAAAGGAGCAAAATTAATGCCCATCGAAATTCCACCAGATTTTTGGAAGCTTTTTTCTCCAAAAGAATAAAAGATATTGTCAATGATAAAGTCCAGCACTTTTTAATTTCAACTTCTGAGTACCTGTATAGAATCAGAATGATTTTAGCTAAGAAATTTTGTAGATGACTAATCGCTAGAAATGTGCAAGTCCCATTTTATCAAGGAGGCAGAGCAGTTGTCTATGATGTCAGATAGCCTGCTCTTTAATTTATAAAGCTTGCATAAGCGTAGAAAAGTCATAAGTTTTGATGCTATTGATGCAGTTTTGCAATTTTAAATTTTCCAAAAGTTGTTTGAAGTTTTCTTTAAGAATCCACAATTGATTTACACCACTTTATGAATATATTGCAGCACAATACGTGTAAAGTTTCTCCTTCACAGCACTTAATATTTTGGTGAGTCTTTCACAGCATTTTATATTTTGGTGAGGAGTAAGGATAAAGGCTTGGTTGAACACATTTACTAGATCGACCCTCGATGTATCTTTGTTTGTAAGGATTTTTATAAAGTATTGGAATTCAACATAAGCACAGTAAATCAAATTCACTTTCATTGATTGGAATGTTAAAAATATTTAAAACTGAAAGATGCTTTTGAAGAATTTCAGCTTTTAAAACGGAATCGTAAGTATAGGTTTGATTATATGTTGGATTATATGGACATATAAACTATAACTTATTTAAGACTTGATAATAATTACAATGATTTTCATGGAAAGACAGTTGATACTATTTGTGTGCTTTATATCAGTATTTTTAATTTCAGAAACATGATACTATCCTGACATACCAAGAAACCCTCTTTATTGAATATCCTTACTAAGATGGAAGTTTTCACTTAATCACTCTTCGTATCTTCACTTAAAATAGTGATGGCGATTTATCAATAGTCGTAATCTAGATTGTACCTGTAAATTGTAGATTGTATAAAATAAAGATTAGCACGAATTTTTAAAATAACCTCAGGAAGAATATTCAAGTCCAATATTATTCGTTAGGCTTAATCATAAATGTACACAAAATTCTTCAAACCAAACTGATTACCCGTTGTGTTTTGAAGAAACAATCAGAGTTTCATGGCTGATTGGCGGGGCTCTATTGATAATATAGTGAAAATGCATTTATTCTTTGAAAATCTTCTAAGCAGGGTAATACGCAAACATGGTGCATGGTTATGATAAGCAAGGGTGCTTTTTCCAAAACTGAAATTCATGGCCGCTTGGTCAGAGGTTCTGGTTTGGGGTGGGATCTATTGAAAATATGCATAAATTCTTTACAATCTTCTGTGTCTCTTTGTGTTTAGCAAACAAAGAGTGCATGGTATGATGAACAAGGATGTCTATTCCAAATATTGTGAAATGTATAATACAAAAAGGACTTAGTTTTTAATGATCAGGTAAATAATAGATAGATACTAATGAGACAAAAATACCTTATTTTTTGTACATTATATATTCTTCAAAGACCAAGGAAGGCCAATTTGTATTGGATTAAAAAGTGTTTACTCCATGTTCTCAATGATAGGTACAAATGGGAGTGTATTACTATGAGCAGGTAAACAGAACTATTCATGATTTATCATGTTTATTACTGAGTATTAAACTATTTTGTTGATCCCTGACCATCCTATTTCTCTTGCTTTGCGATAGCATATCTTCATCTCTCAGTTTACTTTGTTTTATTATAGACTTCTATTGATCCTTTCCAGTCTTGTTGTTCAGATGACCGGTAGGGTCGCTGGGTCTCTTGTTTATCCTAAAACATACTTGATCGATATTTCATTTGAAATGCATAATTGGTACTTTTTTCATAATTCCTAAAAATATATTTGAGATAAATAATTTTTCCCTATATAATGTGAATAACTATATTGATGAGCTTTAAAGAAATAACATGTGTAAATTCACATTTCTTCGTGAATTCAGTGACATTTTTTAACATTTTCAATTACTTAACTGCTGATCTTCAAACTTGAGGAACGGATAGCTTTTTTAAAAAAGTTAGGCAACATATTTTATTTCAGAATCAATATAAATATGTTCTAATACGTAAGGAATTGAATGCAACAATAACAGGTGTAATTCACAGTTACAAACAGAAGATAATATTTTAAAAAATCAAATAACACAAAACAAGAAGTCGAGGTATTCAATAAAATAAATACATATAGAATGTAACTTACTGGTCTGAGAACATTAAGATAGATAAAGAGAGAGAGCTGCAGTTCCATGCATTCAAAAAGTACATTTGTGACGATCCACCTTTTTCTATATCGATATATTTGTGCCAAGATACGTTACGTATTACGAGTTTTAATACTTCTTATAAAAAAGATATTTTAACTAGCTCTCATTGGCCTGAAATTGAGACCATCGAAATATTTGTTTAACTGTCATTGTGACTGACACGGCAATGCAATGCCTAAAGGCTTAGTGTGTGAATTATAAACATTCATAAGTTACACAATGTTGTTTTCGTTTTTTGGTTCCTTAAGCCTAATAATTATAAAAATATTCTAATCCAATTTATGTTCCGTATCGGCTAGAAGAAAAAACGATAGGATGTCAAATTGTCATGCCCTCCAAACTAACTAACTAACTAACTAACTAACTAACTATATATATATATATATATATATATATATATATATATATATATATATATATATATATATATATATATATATATATATATATATATATATAAAGGTTTAAAACCAAATACATTACTTAGTATGTGGTCAAAGTATACAGGTATACATGAGAAGCACAGGGTAAGTAACATTTTAAGGGAATTTAAAACATTGATAAATCATTATAGAATCAATTTATTTACGTTTTTGTGAATGCATGAAATTGTATCTCAGTGGTCATCTGTCCCAAATTTCAGACCAGTGAGCTAAAGACCTATATGGTTGATCTTTATGAAAGACGTCTAGTCACATCGATTTTGCAGGTCAATGGGTCTACTAGAGTGCACGTGACTGCAAGATCAACAACAGATAGAGGGGTTGTATTCATGCAGTACATGATATGTGGCTCCCTAAAACACTTAAATTCATTTAGCAGCTTCCTCAACGAGGCAATGCTCTCTAGGCTCAGCACCTTCCGTTGAAATGCCTCGTAAAACAAGAAGATTTCCTCGATAGCTTTGGCGATGTCAACATTCGTTCGGGTAGCTATGACGTAATTCATCCGGGTCCCGATTTTATAGACCTGCGCACTCCACTGTGGAATTCTTTCACTTGTTTTCTGGTAGATATATCTGATATACGATAAATCTGTGGACGGAATAACCCGATCGTCCTCCACCGCTATTGAGAATAATGGAGTGTAAGTCTGTAGAATAGCTCTGTTACCTATGTGAAAGCAACATTATTTTACCAAACTTTGTAATCTTAAATACTAAATGAAAATATACAGGCATATACAATGTATTGAGATGTTTAGCATGAAAGAAATCATCAATATTTTAATTTCACTTTTCTCAAATCTTAAAAATACGGCATAAAACACGTAAACAGATTTGCTAGGTATAGTACCTTACATTTTGCAGCTGTTACACGTGTACGTCATAGGCATGCTCTCAGAACAATCTGATTAACATACCGGAAGGAAGTGATATTTATGTACGAATCTTTTTAATTCAATGGCCATGAAGAATAAAAACTTTGCAATAACCCTGAATACTATGCAAAGCAATGCCAGTAGAATGTTTTAGAGGCAAGAGTAGATGCAGAGCAATAGAAAAAAAACCGTAAGACATAACAACAAAGATCATCTGGTTATATGAGACGCAGCATGAGCTCTTGTTCCAAAACTAAGTTTAAAGTATTAGTCTGGCAATTTACACAATAACAAGTGGTCACCTCAACTTTTTGGAAAGGAAAATTCCCGTTATCATCAACCAAACAAAAAAGTTAGGAAGCGGAATGTTTGCGCTGCTGTCATCTGTTTGATCGACAGAACCGACAATAAAAGAATGATGATGAAAATATTAGAATGTTATTCACTCTTTCCCTCTTTACCTCTCTCTCTCCTCTCTCTCTCTCTCCTCTCTCTCTCTCTCTCTCTCAGAAAAAATACAAAATAGATAAAAGAATATAATTAAAATAAATTATTATTTTTAAAAAATGATTACTTGTTGAATGTACTTGTGTTTATTTATGATAGATGGTTTTGTATATGATACATGAGAAACAAGAATCTTATATATTTTTTCATCTGATCGTAAGTTTATGTCTAATCAAAATTTGAAATTTAATTGAAATTTATATATGTTAACTGCAAACATTACAAGCATGCTTATATTCATGCTTGAAAATTTCTTACCATAACCTGAAATAATGAAAATATATAGAGTTTTGTAACTGTTACAGTCTTTGCTCACAAAGAATTTTGCTGCAGTCAGCTTATAGTGTAAAGGTTAAACATCCCTCTTTTCACTCATATAAAATTTTGCCTTAATGATAATGATATTTCAAAAGAAATCTAAATTATCACTGAAATGCAAACAATTGCAGCAAACTTTGAGGTGAAAAAATTGATAGAAATTGCCTTTTTATGGAATGATAGTAATTAATTCCAGTGAAGTTTATATCTTATCAGAGAAACAAGGAATCTTTCTCAGAGAAAAGTACTCACATTTTCCTCGAAGTTCCATTTCGATGGGATAGTGATCACTTACAGCCAGAGCCTGTTTATAGGGTTAATTCATGTATGTTAAACAAATTAATAACTGAAGGATTAGGTAGTGGAATAATTATCCAATCGGAACACGAAACACCAAAAAGAAGCAAAAAAGTCAAATTGATATACATGTACTAACCACTTCCTTTGTCAGCAGATGTTCACTTTCGTAATGGAAAACCTGGACACTATCTGGTATTATATCTGGCCATGTATTTTCTTTAATGATGAACCTGTAAGAAAATGTTTAATTAAAGTTTCAACAACCTCCAAAATGCTATATTTTTAACTTTATTTGAAGAGAATACAGCAATGACAAACTGTGGTTGTATGGTAGCCCACTACGCATATTTTACATTTAAAGACAGTAAGAACATAAAGCGAGGAAGTGGATCTTAACAAGATCTATTTAAAACAGTTGCGATTAACTCAGGAAAAGGATTGTAAAGGACATCAAATGGGGACAAAATTTTCGCCTATTATAGACTTATCAAATGAGGACGACAATCTTGCACAATATCAGGATTGATATCAACTAAGGACACAATTGAGGACAAAAATCCTGTCTGTCATACGGATGTTAATTGACACATGTATTTATTTTTTCAATGTTATGTAATTAATATTTACTTGTAACATGTATGACTTTACCTGTATTGTGGTGAGGACTGAAATCCAGTTATGTTTAATCATAATAAAATAAAGTTTAAATTAAATCAATTGAGGACTACAATCTTACCGGACATATGGATATCATCTGAGGACGACAGTTTTAGTCATTAGGATATCAAATGAGGACGAAGATATTGCCTATTATAGACTTACCAACTGGGGACGACAATCTTGTCCAACATTAGGATATCAACTGAGGAGGACAATCTTGCTACACATAAGGATAATCAAAAAAGGACGACATGCAATATTGCTGAACATTAAAAATATCAACTGAGAATACTGAGAATGACAATCTAGTTGGTCATGAGGACATCAACTGAGGACCACTGTTTTGGCGGTCAGAGGGATATCGAATGAATAAATAAAAGACAAGAATCATACCGATCATAAGCACAGTTGGTGCCGCTAACCGTTGTATCTTGATAATCATCTATCAGCCATTTATATGAAGTGTCATTGCGAATGGAGAGTTCTTTCATTTTGGTTCGGCTTAAATAGGAGCAATCTGCATTCAGGTCTCCAGCGATCAGAATGTGCTACAATCATGCACCATTTTGAAAGACGCAGATACATGTAATTCAATAAACAATTTCTGATTTGAATAATGGAATGACTTTTAAGAACAAAATAAAATAATTTTATAAATTTTGTAACCTTTTTAATTTGTTTGAGATTTATTTACAGATAAAGCTACTCACGGGGGTTTTAAATCTCCGTTCCACTTCGGCATATACAACACTTAGAGCATTGATTTCAATGAAGGCATCTTCGGGACTCGTATGTAGCCCAATTATTCCAAATTCGTGCATAGTATCTAAAACAGGCTTGTGTAGATAGAGAACCTGCTCTAACATTACAGATTAAACGGAAATTATTTCCTTAAAATGTATATACATGTATATATATTTTTTTAATTTGAAGAGTATTGTATTCTTTCTTTTTTTGTATCTAACACTTTCAAAACCTGTGGCACGGTTCATATTCAAATAGTCAATGAATTCTATACAAGTTGAGGTTATAGAAGTCGTGGGTTTCTGAATTCTTTTTTAAAATACTAGAAATAAAGATATCTATCAATATAGCTTTTGCCAAACTTCAACGTTTCAACTCTATAATGTACATACCTAATACATCGGAGTGAAATTTGACGGCATAAGGAGGCCTCTGGAATAAATCTAAAGGGTCTTCGTATTGGTAGACTTCCACTGTATTCACGTACTTCTTCCTGAAAGAATGCAAGTTCTTAAAGCCATAATATTTGTGGTATACTCATATTTTAAAAAATAATTTAAATGATAACTATTATCTAAAAAGGTTAAAATAAAAAAAAAATAAAAACTCTAATACTTTAATTGTTCAATATACATGTATATTCATTACCAATAAAAATCTGCATGAAGTCAAGCTACTCTCAGGACTTAGGGGGCGGATCTTGTAATATAAAATGGAGTGGGAGGCAAATAGAGAAAAGAGGGGGAGGAAAAGGGAGAGAAGATGGGTGGGTAGAAAGGACGATAAGGAGGAAGACGAAATGGGAGAGGAGAGGTGGGACGAGGAAAGAAAGAAGACGATGTTGAAGGATAATGATCATCTTACAAGCCGACATAATGTACTAAAATTTTGAAAGTATTATTTAATTGCTCTACGGTATGACTTCAATTTGTCTCCAAACTTTTATTTTAAGAAAATTGATATAGATCAACTATTTCAAGAATATTTCAAAACCCAAGGACCACAATTCTGTTCAAAAAGAAACATTAATGTGAACTGGTCATCATCATATTAAAGCACAACAAACCAAGTTCAGGAGAGAAGATATTAAGAAAATACTGTTGTTTTCACAAAATAAATACAACTTTCTGAATCTCTTCAGATTTGCCTCAGGTGTATACAGATACAGACATTTAAATATGTATACATATCCCCGATTAGACCTAAATAAATAAGAATGTCATGACCACATTGTGACCGCACTTAATTTCAGTAAATAGTCTGGGGTCGTTACGTACCTGTACAGGAACGCATACTGTTCTTTGCTGGTCGATCTACCAAGGCGTGCACTGACGACTAAACTGAACGGCTCGTCCGACCTCCTAAAACAGAAAATGGTATTACTTAAGGATGAAACATGCCTTCAAGTGTTGTTCCGCTCCCCTCAAGATTAGAGGAGCTGATCGAAACATATTGTAAGCCAAGATGTTAGAATGATGAGGGATGATTTTCGTTACCCTCCTCCTAAAATAACCCTTTCTCTCGCCATATATATATATATATATATATATATATATATATATATATATATATATATATATATATATATATATATATATATATAAGTAACTGATATACACAACTGATCTGTCAGTTGAAGATAACGTACATTATATTAAATCCATTGAGGATTCATACTAGAAATGTGAATTAAATTTTTGTCTTTGAAGTGGTGGGTTTTAAATTTTATCGCTATTTTCAAATTCTATAGACATTTGATCTTTCCCAATATAAATTATATCCAAAAAAAATGAATTACTTCGAAATGTGTCACACTGGTAAAGGGTAACACGCATTTTGCTTATTCTGATCAGGAAATCATGCAATAAATGTCACGGTTGAGATAAAGAAAAAAGAGGCAGCTTTACATGACAGTGGTTCAGAAAATCGGAAAGATTTTTTTTCCTTGCGTCTACATGTAGTGCATGTATAGCTAATATAAGAACATTATCTGAAATTTAATATCTCTTGGTATATTTCTAAAGCATGTTTGATTAATACTTTAATAGTCTGAATTTCGGTAACTATTGTAAGTTCAGTGAAAAGATTTTCCTACAGATTGACAAACTTATACAAATGCATGAATATATCTATTTGTTGTTATTGAAATGGAAAAGACTGCCCTTTAAATAGATAAGGAGGAATTTTGTTCTGGAATGTAAACACATAAACCTGTATATCTTTGACCAAAGTCAACAAATTCCGTATAAAGCTGAAAATTTACAGATAAATGGATAAGTATGACTTACGTTTCGTTGTTTAGCTTCTCCACCAATTTATAGATGTAGGTTTGAGAAGAATCCCTAATCTCTTGAACCAATACGATATCATAGCGTGATAAAATCTTTAAAAACAAAACAATAATTAATGAATCCGTTTGATATGAAACTACGATAATGCATCATGCACTCATTGCGACATTTTATATTGAATTAAGTGATTAAAAAATCCCCAAAAGGCTGCTTTGACATTTAAAGTTCAAAACGTTACTGATAGATTTCTTCCACTGAGCCTTAATTTCATTTTCCAATAAAAGATGCAGATATTGGATCTTACACTTTCATATCTGAACCGTGATTTTAAAAATGTCTATACCTTTACAAGTTCCTGAGCTACCTCGGGCTTTTCAAACTTGGTCTCCCCGAAAATCTGAATGTTGAAAGCTCCGATTCTAATGGGATCTTGATCCTTGAAATTGTCCAGTTCCGATATGTCCCCCTCTGCAGTCAGCAGGCCCCAGCAAAACACCACAAAAGTCGCCTTCCACATGTTCCTTGTGACCCTAGAGACTGAATGTGTAATAGTCCACGTATATTTTATCAGTCACAATCGCTGACCCGTTAATACCCCCCGTGTTTACTTTCTTTTGCTTATTCATTCCGTGTATTAAAAAGCAACAAATCACGGTTCAATGATGATTTTAAAAGATCAAAACGTGGAAATCGTGGGTAAATAAATGCATGCATACTTATATTTTAAAATGAAATACATATTGTTAACTTAGATATTGTCAGTAAAGTATATAGTTTAGTGACCCATTTTAAAATTATCAAACTATATAAAGAGAATATCATCATGCAGATTTTCTGAATGCAGCATTAAAAAATATACGTATACATGTATTTGTGAAATAATCCATATCATTAATTCGAAAAGAAAAAACCTTAAATAATCCTTTCTCACTCTTGTTATTATATAGAGTAGTTTAGAAATTGTTATTAAATTGCGCTTTCGGTGTTTTATCGAATTGATGGTATAGATTAGATCACTAAAATGTCATGAAAGGTACAATGTATACATGTAACTATGAAAAAAAGTGAAAATGCCTTGTCATTCTTTGCAATCACAAATTTATTTAAGAAATAAACAACAATGTTAAAAAGTTCTCTGGGAAATGAACTTGGTTGGTCATGTGATCAAATCCTGTGAAGCCCGAAGGGCTTCTCAGAAGATTTGATCACGTACCAACCAAGTTCATTTCCCAGTGAACTTTTTAACATTGTTGTTTATTACTTTTATTTACATTTGAGACGAATATTCTGAAAAGAACTGCATTTATTACACGAACGGCCCGTCGTATTGCTATGTTGTGACGCGCAATGACCTAGAAGCTGTTTGGTCTTGAGAGTTCGCCTCGCTCCAACATTTGAATACTTACATTGATGTTCAGCAGTCCAGTTCAGGAAATATCTGTTCATAATGAAAAAAACAATGATCGCTACTGGGAATAATCTTATTATTATTGTATGAGTTCTTTATATATGGAGTCAAAAGCGGTGCTATCGTCTTCAGTTTACATACCTTCAAAGGAATTTCGGGTTAAAAAGGTAAGCGTGATTTTAGGTTAATTAGAAACATTCTTCACACCGAAGAAAGATTTAATGATCATTTGTTGAACGCAAAAATAAATATGTTTCAAATATTTTATCTTTTTCATCGCTTTAACGGCTTAGAAGTTCCGAAACCAGTGTCACTGTGACAGAAATATGTAGACAAGATATCGTCTCGCTGTGTGATTCGGTCACGCCATGACCTCTGACCCCCTAATAAGTTCATACAGAATTGAACATATTTTCTCTTCAATAGGTTCATCTAAGAAAAATATTTGCAAATGTAAATAATTTATTTTATATTATTTTTGGGTGAATTCAAAAATAATGACCACCAAATTAAATTTTTTTTGAAAAAATTCAACTACCCATATATATATATATATATATATATATATATATATATATATATATATATATATATATATATATATATATATATATATATAAGGGATGTCAAATCGGTCAATTTTTGATAATCGGTTACTCGGACGTTTTTCCGATCGAGTACCCGGGTACTCGGTAAAAAATGCAAATACAAGTGTGTTAATTTTCTTGAGCCCCGTTAAGCTCTGTTAAACCCAAAAGCTGTTTTTATCACGTTTATAAATGTATATAAACATAGATTACAACGGAAATGATTTTTTGGTACTAGATTTATTTATCAAACACAAAAGACACAATTAATACATCAAAAATTACAAATGGTTTACAGTTCTTGTTTAGGATCTATTTCATCAAAAGGAGGAAAATCTGTTACGCATGTTTATAATGATAAGACTAGCGAAAGAGCACAGGTGCTTGGGGAACACCCCCCCCCCCCCCCCCCGCAAGAACTGTTCTCTCTTAGTATCAGAGAGTTTGAATTTTTATAAAAGGCTAGTTTTAGGTTAAGTTTTGGATTTTTCAGTTGTAATACTTTGTGAATGTGTCAAAGAAATATATTTTATTTTAAAAAGTCAAAGAACCCTTGGGGTACGGAACACGGTGGGGGCGTCCCCCAAGCACCTGTGCGAAAGAGACGGTATTGCCGTTTTTGGAATCACTAGTCTAATATTATTTCATACGTTGATGGTTTCCCCTGTATACACTAAACTTACTACGCAAACTGACCTTCAACATTTTTTTTTAATCTTTAGTTATTTATTAATATTTCTTCACTTTTGAAGTGGGTAGCGGCATTTCTATGCATTTCCTATTTCACTGCCGTATATTAACTAAATAATTTTAAAATGATTTGAAGATAATAGACCTTCGATGTTCACTGAAAACAATCATTGAAGCCATCCAAAAATTAAGTACAACAATATAGGTGAGAATAGCTGGGTAATTGGTCACTAATTACTGTATATACACAGCCACAGGCGATAACGGGTGCTTTACAGGGGTGTGTTCCCCGAACGGCTACTCGCCAAAAACAACAAGTAATTATCACACTCAATTAAGGGGCCCTCTAAGGGGTACAGGTAGACTTACCTGTGTTTACCTGGATTAGTTTGATTAGTTTTTTGATAAAAATATGTACTTTGAAATAAGAAAAAATACACATCCGAGTAACCGAGTACCATTTTTAGTATTCGATACTCGGACGTTCGATCGAGTACCCGGTTAACCGGGTACTCGTTGACATCCCTAATATATATATATATATATATATATATATATATATATATATATATATATATATATATATATATATATATATATATATATATATATATTTGTGTTGGTGAGGACAAGCTGGAATAACTTTTCATATATCCAATGGATTACGTTCAATTAGGAATGTTCAAATCAATCTTTTAAAAGGTTAAAATACCAGGATTTTTGAAAACGTTACGCTCAATTTCCAAACATATTACACACAATGGATATGTCTGTTCATTTTAAAATTCAGTTGAAAGTTAAAAGGGGGGGGGGGGGTTATGACTTTTTAAAACTTCTTATTTCAATTTAATTTTAGCGATTGGAGAAGATTGTGTTAAATTTGTATAGGCATTCATAAATTTTTGACGTGTGAAATAGATTTTTAAAATGCTCTAACAACAGTGTTTCTGGTATTAGAAAATAATATTGAAAATTCGGATTATTAATACCAAAAATTCCTCATAAAGGAAAAGGGAGATAAATGTTACATATTCTTCGAGACTTACTTTAACCTGTCATTGGAGGAGATTATTCTGAGTAGAGACAATACTGTAACACGAAATCAATGATGTATTAGTTTTCCAATCACCAAACTACACGTGCATCTTATAAAATGAACAATTGTGTATACATTGAAAGTAGACGTCAAGTATCTATCTATATATAGATAGATATTTGAATAATAATAATGTTTTATACTGTTATATACCATAGTATCATTCAAATATGTATCTATGTATACTAATTGTGATTGTTATTTCTAGAATTAATAATACACGATAAATATTTATACATACTGTTATCTCTTTATCCTGTCATGAACCCATGTTGCTGTCCTACCGGATCCCCGACTACATGAAATTCTCTCCATCAAACGGAAGGCTTGTTAATACTTCCTGCTTTATCCCATATATATCTTTCGCAATGCCTCGATGTTATTTATAAACTGACTTTATAAAAAAAATAATTAAGTATTAAGAGCGGATATAAGTGCGTATAGCCTTATGATAAATTATAATGTGATCATTTGGATGAATCTGCCGGATAAATGTAAAAATTATTGTCGCGCCAGACGAGTGATTAATTCATACACGGAAGTAAAAAGTTCTTAGATGATCATTGTAGAGACCATGCAAAACAAAACAAAAGCTTTATTCACACTAAAAAAAAAAAAACAAACAACAACAAACATTTAAATTCAACAATGAACTTGTAGTTGAATAACCTGAAAGTTTCTGAAACAGTCCCTGCAGAAGTTTTTGCAAGCAAATTTTCATTCCTAAAACCCGGTCATGGACCACTTCGTTTTAAAACAAAAAGAAAGAAATATAGGTTAAATTTCCTAATTTAACTAGCCATTTTATATCACAATAAATTCATGAAATATGCTTTGTTTGTTTTAATCTAATCTATCGCAAAGTGTAACTGACGTAATTCAAAAGTTGCAAAAGGAAAAAAAAAGAGACCCCTCCTCCCGCCCCCCCCCAAAAAAAAATAGTAAAAGATCTTTGAAAATCGCAATAAAAGAAATTGTCACAAGAACAGAATTCAGGCTATTTTAAAAGAAAATCAGCAATAGTCTTTACACGAATTTTCAAATGTAATTCTATTTCAGTCCTAGGAATGCGAAACTGAATACCTTCTCTGGAACATCTTGAAAATTCCTTGGATAAAAAATACAGATCTTCAGATTACTTTAATTGGACTGATATACCGGGGGTATATATAATAAAAAATGTTTGAACTGCAGCGAACAATTGCATAGTATGCACATATAATTAACATTTGTACGTTGAATTTCTTACCCAAGATCGTAAATTTATATCTCTAATAATTTCTTTTGACAAAAGTTATGTCTGCTTTAACAGCTGTTACAGTCATTTTTTTTTAATGAAGTAAAGAGATATAAGACCGGACGAAATTTTTCAGGACTTTATTAGATACTTTTAAGAGTTAAAAAAAATTAATAAATAAATTTTTAGAGATTATACTTAAAATGCGGAAAGGTATCCTATTTATAACTCGTCATGTTTTTCAATCATTATTCAAGATTTATTTATGTAAAGTACTTTTAAATGATGCATGATTTTAAAAAGGATTACTATTAATGCACTGTAACATTCAACAGATGTCACAAAATCAAAATCACTTAAAACTATTGCACTAAAAGTAATAAAACACACACACACACCCTCTCACACACACACAGAGAGAGAGAAAGAGAGAGAGAGAGAGCGTGTGTATTTGTATAATTGTTGTATTACATACGATTCGAATGATATCTGAAATTTTGTTATGTTATTATTTGAACTGTTCCATAGTCATTTCCATTTTCATTCCACTGTGATAGGTCTCGTGTATCGTTGGACTCTTTCTAAGTGACATTAAGGGTTGCTGATCTTCTTCCTCGCATCTGTCTATCTGTTTACTTCCATTAACATTTTAGGTATTAAAATATAACTCTTAATTTCTCTAAAGTCTATTATTTCGAATTCTCTTTCTTGTAGAAAACGTTTCTTACGTCACTTGTTGGTGTTTAAACAGAAATATTCAATATTTCAACAGAGGAAGAAGAAAGTCAGTAGACGATCAATCAACCTTGAACGGCCTTTGTTCTTGCAGGCTCATTGGAAGCAATTTCATTTGGGGGTGGGGCGGGGGCATAGGTTTTTCAGTTTGAAGGGGCACATCCAATCAGGAATAGTCATCAAACGTAAACATTGAGGGGGCACGAGCTTAAAGTAGCTACGTTTACTACAGTATACTATAAATCGGCAAAATTACAGCCCCCCTTCTGACAGTTCAATCTTTTTTAATAAAAGCAACCCAAAGCAAGGCCCTTTACTGCAAATAGAAATGAAAATCATTAAAAAGGATGGGAATTAAGACTCTGGATAAAATCTTTTTGGATGAGCTGAAAAGTAACGCCAAAAAGACATCGTTGTTATCCTCCTGACTTTGTTTTTATCTTTATATTTTTAAAGTAATTATTTATATCTGAATGAAATTTTCAGGCAACAGTCAAAATAGTCCGAGGTATTTCTGCAAAATATAGTACCAAAGAAAATACATGTATATTACATCATTTATTTAAAGATTTATAACAAAATATATAAACTGACAATATAAACAAAAAATAACAACATAACACAAACGTATCGAAATTCTAATTGAATATTTTGCACATTCTCGCTAAAGCCAATCTCACTTGTTCGTAACTCCCATCGTAAAAAAAATATATATCTTTGAAAATAAAATGAAAATTCAATAAAAACTCTGCTGGTATAGAAATATCCTTGGTTGCAACATAATGTAAATCAAAACTATAATCATTATAGCAAAATTTACAAATTTTTGTTCATTGGGATGATAATCTCTCATTCTCACAATAATCCTTGGGTACCTGCCCCATTGGATTCAACATAATAATGGCCCTTAATGGGGAAAAAATCAAACAACGGCAGGTTTTTTCATGTTTGAATTGTCAGAATTCGTTATTCTCGCAGACTTTGCGGGACTTCTGAGATGACGCTTAATCAGGCTAAAAACTTAAGCACCGAGACACAACAGCGCAACGACGATCATCATCATGACAATTGTCATGATGGAGTTTCTAGAACCTGCTTTGTAGTTTTTAGCTTAAGGACATACGTATCGTACCTTACCTACTGATAATTTTTCAAGATATTCTTAATTTAAGATTATAATGTCATCAGATGTTCGTAGACAAAAAATCAGCATGCATTACCAGGGGTTTTGGAAAGATATCAACTGATGAAAATTCTTGTATAATTAAAAGAAAAATATACAAAAATTACGTAACATATATTCTAGATGTTTTGTTTATCCAAACTTGTTTTAGAAGAAGTGTACAACAGCATATATAGACATTAAAATATAGCACACAGTTCCTTTATGTATTGGAACTCTTCAACTCCAAGGAAAAAGACAATATAGTTCAAACTACGTTGCATATGTCCTTAACTAGCTCCAAGTGCAAGAGGAGCAACACACCACGGTGTTACTGTGTAGCGGGTATATCGAACTAGGAAGGTAATGTCTACTGTAACAACAGTGTAGGTCAACACACAAACCAACAAGATCGAAAGAGCAACTGTACATACATGCGTCATCATTGTCCACAGCGGGATTTCCCTTGTAGATCATCGCCATGATCATAAGAGTCGCTACGCCGTGAGTACATTCTGAACCAAAACACAGATGCACCGGTACCATGCAAATATAAAAAAACTCTGCCGTTTTTTTAAGTAACTCCATGTTTTCATCAAATTATCGATAGGAAATGAATAAACACACATACAAAGTGAATGCTACGAAAAACAGGACCAGGAAAGCGATGATAATTTCCTCTCTATTGAACAGAAGAATCTAGGACAGTTTGAGACACACGTTGATGATGAAGGTGGCGAAAATATGTGGCTTAATTGTCTGAAATGACGGGATGGAAATAGCTACAGATCTGTAGATCGCTGGTCTGAAAAAAAAAATGGGATGGACGACCGAGAGTGTCACCCATCAAAAAAAGTGTACATTTATAGCGCACAAAAGTGTGCTGTTTCTCGATTTATTTCTACACTACACTGTAGCTCTATGGTCGTCCATCCCAATTTTTTCAGACCAGCGAGCTACAGATCTGCAGCTAGGATGGAAGATGAGAGAGCTTCAGTTTAAAGGTAACTCGTACATTTATTGCGCACTAAAACTGCGAACGGTTGGGGAGATTTATCAGCCACTTCAAATTACAGTGTAAACTTTCCGGCCCAGGAGAGATGACAATTGTGGGAACTGTTTCGAATGTTGGGAACATAAATAGATGGCGGCGTAAAACTCTCAAATCTTGACAGTTTTTACAGAATAAATTAACATTTTTGTGAATACTTAGAACTGTAGCTTTCTGGTCATTCTTGGATAAGAATGGACGATCCGTAAATAAAATAGGAAATAGTTTATCTTTATGAAAGACGTCTAGTCACATCGATTTTGCAGGTCAATGGGTCTACTAGAGTACACTTGACTGCCAGATCAACAACAGATAGAGGGGCTGTATTCATACAGTACATGATATGTGGCTCCCTAAAACACTTAAATTCCACTAGCAGCTTCCTCAAAGAGGCAATGCTTTCTAGGCTCAGAACCTTACGTTCGAACGCCTCGTAAAACAAGAAGATTTCATCGATAGCTTTGGCAATGGCTACATTTGATTGGTTGGCAATAACGTAAATCCGGGTTCCGCTTTCGTAGACCCGCGCACTCCAATTTGGAATTTTTTCACTTGTTTTCTGGTAGATATATCTGACAAAGGTTAAATCTGTGGACGGAATAACCCGATCGTCCTCCACCATTATTGAGAATGATGGAGTATAAGTTTGTAGAAGAGTTCTGTTACCTATGTAAAAGCAACATTATTTTACCAAATTGTCTTATATTAAGTACATGCACCAAGTGTAATGAAAATGTACAGATATATATTGAGGTGTTTATCTTTAAAGAAATTATCTACATTTAAAATTTTACTTAAGTCCTAAGAATATAGAATAAAACATGTTAACAAATGCTAGGTATAGATCCTTATATTTGGCAGCTGATACACATACATGCTCTCAGGGCAAACTGGTTAGCATACCAGAAGAAAGTAATATTATATAAAAATGTAAGAATCTCTTTAAATCAATGATCATGAATAAAAAAAACATTCTAGTTTACTCCGAAAGGCTTTAAGTATTAGTCTGGCAATTAACAGAACTAGAAGGCTGGTACAAGTAACTTTATGCAATTGTAAATCCCCATTTCCATCAACCCCATTACTGTCAAACAAACAAAAAAAAGTTAGGAAGCGGAACGTTTGCGCTGCTGCCATCTGTTAGATTGACAGAACCGACAATAAAAAAAGAGGAAGAAGAAAATATTTTGGATATTCTACCAGAATGTTATTTATTCTCTCTCTCTCTCTCTTAGAAAAAATATAACATAGATAAGAGAACACGATTTAAAAAAAAAAATCCTGTTCAGTTCATCTGTGTTTAATGATTTTGCATATAATAAATGAGAAACAAGAATCTTTTTTATCTAATCATAAGTTTCTTTGAATCGAATCTTGAAATTAAATTATAACCTTAACATGTAAATTCCGAATAAGCACACTAATATTTATTTTTTTAAATATCCTTACCGTGACCTGAAATAATAAAAATATATTCAATATTGTAACAGTCTTTGTTCACAAATGAAAATAAACTTTGCTACATGCAATCATATATATTTAATTTTAAGCTTTTTAAAGCATCGCCCCTGTTCACATATATAAAATTTTGCCTTTAATGATTTTCCAAAAGAAATCATATTATCAGTGGGAAGCAAACAATTTCAGCATAACTAGAGGTAAAAAATTGACAGAAATTGTCTTTTAAATTGACATTTTTTAGAAAAATGTAATCATTAATCCCACTGTAGATTATATTTTTTCAGAGGGTCAAGGAATCTAAATTGAGTTAAGTACTCACATTTTCCTTGAAGTTCCATTTCGACGGGATAGTGATCACTTACTTTTAGAGCCTGTTAATAGTCAAGATTAGAGCCTGTTTATAGTTAAGAACATGATTGTTAAACAAAATAACTGTAAAATTGGGTAGTGATATCATTACAGTGAAGACCCGGAACGGCCGGAATTTAAAAATTTCTTAGAAATATTGAAATCAATTTATTAAGATACCAACCATTTCCTTTGTAAGTAGATGCTCACTTTCGTAATGGAATACCTGGACACTATCTGGTATTATATCTGGCCATGTATTCTCTTTCACTATAAATCTGTAACCAAATATTAATAAAAGTTTCATTATCCTTCAAATTACTATAAAAACATCGAACATGGAAGCGGGCCTTTACCAAAGTAATTAAGACGAAGACTTCAAATGAGGAAGAGGATCTGAGCTTTGGGTTATCAACTGATAACGGCAATCTGTCAAGACATAATGATATCATCTAAGGACGTCAACTTAGGACAAAAATCCTGCCGGTTATCAATTAAGGACAAAAATCTTGCTGGACATGAGGATATCAACTGAGGACAACAACTTTTTCGAACACAAGGAGCCCATGGACAACAACTCTCACCTTAGTCACGATAGTCCCGTTGTTCTTCAACATTATTTTTTAAAAAAACATCCATCTTTATTCAAATAAAAAAAATCTTTCCCAACCCTATCCCCAAGGGTTATCATATAACCTAATTTGAATCAACACATTCTGATGATGCTTTAAAATCATTATGACTAGCATGACCTTGCTGTTATGCAGAAGTTCACATGCACTAGGTGAAAACTGCTCCCCGATTTCAGCTAGAATGTTTTATTTGAAGGGGAAAGAAAACAAACCTTTGGAATGTGAATACAATTTAATATAATCCTACTATTTTTTTAAAACAGTTTTTCTTTTAAAATATTGTTCCTTTTTTGGGACCACACCTTACCCTCAGGTGCCATGATTTGAACAAACTTGTATCTGTACTACATGAGGATGATTAAATCTTAATATTAATAATCATGGGCCCTCCCCTTCTAGAGAGGAAGATTTGAAAACATTTTACCACATACTCCTATATGTAAAGCTTCAATCCCTCATTGTGGCCCCACTCTACCCCAAGGTGCCATGATTTGATAAACTTGTATCTGTATTACCTGTGAATGATTGCATCATAATTTTACTATAACCACAGCCGTCCTGCTCTTGATAAGATTTTAAAACATTTTTCCCAAGTAAAACTTGTGATTCCATCCTACTCTCGGGGCATGATTTGAACAAATTTGAATCTATACTATGTCAGGAAGCTTCTATATTAGTTTCATCTTTTCTGATCCAGTGGTTCTTGATAAGATGATTTTCAAATAATCCTATTGTCTTTATTTCTTAACTATCTACACTTAAAACAGGGCATGGATTTTTCGTTTGAATAAACTTTAATTCTCTTTAAACAGGGATGCTTTATGGCAAGTTTTGTTGAAATTAGACAAATGGGTCTTGAGAAAATAAAAAAAATGGAAAGTTTACGACGACAACAACATCGACGACGACAGGCAACGGACAAATTTGGACCAGCAAAGCTCATTTGAGCTTTTAGCTCATGCGAGCTAATGAGGACGAAAATCTAGTTGGTCAAAAGGATATGATTTGAGGATGACAATCTAGCAGACCAAAAGGATATGATTTGAGGATGGCAATATAGCAGACCAAAAGGATATGATTTGAGGATGGCAATATAGCAGACCAAAAGGATATGATTTGAGGATGGCAATATAGCAGATCAAAAGGATATGATTTGAGGATGGCAATATAGCAGATCAAAAGGATATGATTTGAGGATGGCAATATAGCAGACCAAAAGGATATGATTTGAGGATGGCAATATAGCAGATCAAAAGGATATGATTTGAGGATGGCAATATAGCAGATCAATAGGATATGATTTGAGGATGACAATCTCTCTGGTAATAAAGATATAAATAGGGAATCTTGCTTGTAATAGGGATCTAAATAGTAGGCAAGAATAATACCGATCATAAGCACAGTTGGTGCCGCTAACTGTTGTATCTTGATAATCATCTATCAGCCATTTATATGTAGTGTCATTGCGAATGGAGAGTTCTTTCATTTTGGTTCGGCTTAAATAGGAGCAATCTGCATTCAGGTCTCCAGCGATTAAGATGTGCTGTGATCGCCAATTGAAAGACGCAGATAATAAAAATCTGACTTGAAAGGATAAATAAAATCATGACTTTCTAAAAACACGTCGGTGATTTGTAATTTAATAATTTCATTTTGTTTTGAGATTTCTTTGCTGTAACATATAAATCTACTAACAGGCGTTTTGAACTTCCGTTCCACTTTAGCATACACGGCATCCAGAGCATCGATTTCTTTGAAGGCATCATCGGGACTCGTATGTAGACCAATTATTCCAAATTCATGCATAGTTTCTAAAACAGGCATAAAAATGTATACGTGTACAAAGTTTTACTAGTCAGAAATCAATATTTTTTGCTCAGTAATATACATACCTAAAACGTCGGAGTGAAATTTGACCGCATATGGAGGCCGCTCGAATTTATCTAAAGGATCTTCGTACTGGTAGTCGTCCAGTTTATTAACATACTTCTCTCTGAAATAAGGCAGCTTTTTTTAAAGTAAAACGTTTGCTGTGTCTTCATATTTATCATTATTGAAATGATAAATGTAGGGTTGTCAAGGAGTAAACGGTTACTCGAGTACTCGACAAAAGGCCCGAGTATCGATTATTAAGAGGGCTGGGTGGTTGTGGCCATTTTCAGACTGTATTGATCTCCTTTAGAAGAAGAGCTCCATATAAAAATATACAAAAATGATAAAATTTTCCAACTAAAATGTATGAAATTTTTCTTTGCCAAATGATAGTTTACAGTTTAAGATATCATATTTAAAAAATTAAGTCATATCTGATGGTTAATTTGTTGACCCCCCAGCCTCCTTAAGATCGATAAACAAGTACTTGGGAAAAAAACCTTGCAGTATTTCTTATTTTCATCGTTATTTGTCAAGCACATTCTAATGTACCGTTATCTCAGTTACCTAGTATGGATTTTAGACTCTGTCACATGTACTCAATAATTAAAGTAATTAATGTATATATTTTTTTCATTATGGATAGACTATTTAATCCGCGTTTTACGTTTAATACATGCGATATATACCCATGAAATTTTCCATGCACTGTGTCATTATTATTTTTAACTTTAATTAAACTTCATTTTTAACATTTACATAGTATATGTACTGTATTCTATTAATTGTACCTAGGGTGTCCCCGACAACCTGCAAAAAACTACCACTTGCAAGGTAGCGCAAGGTTATCATTACTTGATGTTGGACGCTAAGTGCGCTGTTCCTTTTAGTGGCTCTTTCTAAATCATTTCTGATGACATCCCCAATAAAATTTATGCCATGTTGACCAAATCGGTACCTTCTTCTTAATTCTTCATCAGACCAACCGTCTATATTTGTGTGTAGTCTAAAAACACGCTGTTTTCTGGGTCCAGGCGGATGAATAAGAAAATTAGCGGCCATATTTAATCACGGTGTTAACTTCTTAATCTACCTACCGTAGGTGGATTAAATTTAACACAGATTTAACACCTTGTTAACACAAACACACCTTTGAACAACACTTAATCATGTGTTTAAATTTAACACACTTGTTAACACAGAAATAACACTGTGTTAAATTTAACCACCTTTTGAACAACCGGACCCTGGGTCATTAGCCGCGCATTGTTTTGTTTATGACAATGGATTTCTCAGACAAAATTAATTCGTTTAAAAAGCATAGACTCTACGTGTAACTTAGTAGCGACGAGCAAATTCAAAGAATTGTGCTCCCCCGCTTTCGGTGTCCTAGAGGATGGGATGCCATTATTTATGGCATATTGTAACTGTCTTCTTCTGTGTCCTGTCTTGTCTATGCATCATACAAAAAAGATATAAATTAATGAATTTATAACAGTTATGAAAAAGATTATAGCTTCTCAAATATTCATCACACTTCAAGATCAAGATCATGAGGTCAAATATCATATAACAATCCGAATGTCTTGTCACAGATAATACACATGTGAAAACAAATACAGTCATAATGTTTACAGTCGGAAAGGTCTTGAAACAGAATGCACATGTCAAATGTAAGTGCCATATCTTCTCTCAATCAAGAGTTATCAGCAATATTAAAATTTTTGAAAATTATGTCAAACTTCAAGGTCATGGAGTTAAAAATCATAGCACATTTGGAAATTCTTGTCACGGGTAATGCACGTGTCAAATATAAATACCCTATCTTCGCTCCTTCAAAAGTTAGCAACACTGATAAAACGTTTGAAAATTAGGTGAAACTTGAAGGTCAAGATCACGGGGTCAAATATTAAGGACACAGAAAGTGATAACGACCGAGCTTGCGATTAAAAAATATTCAGAATCAGAATAACATTCCTTTTCTATTTATCTGTAAAATATCTTTGTATCCGAGTAGCAGTTTTACTAACCGATACTAGTATCTTTCGACGGAACCGGGTACTCGTTGACAACACTAACAATCTCTGATTTAGATCTGAATACTCGTTTTGAGAGTTCTACGTCGTTGCATACCTGTACAGAAAGGCATACTGTTCTTTGCTGTCCAATCTACCGAGGCGTTTGCTGACGACTAACCTGAACGGCTCATCCGACCTCCTGAAAACAGAAAAATGATATCAGAAGGTAATAAAAGCCTTTAATGGCTATGGGTTCCGTTCCTTTCAAGAGGAGGAAAGCGGTTTGTAAACATAGTATGGCAGTAATGGTGATTTTTAAATGAGTAACCAACATTTTCACATCTTTGCGTATTATAGGTTCCGCTCCGCTCTCTAAGTTTTTAATTATATATTATAATACAATTAAATAACGGCGTCTATGGCGTAATCGGTAGCGCGTCGGACTGACAATCTCGGGGTCGTAAGTTCGATCCCCGGCGTCGGCGCTGCGGGATTTTCTTCAGAAAAAGAAGCCGTGCACTATTTCAGCATAGTTTGCTTACGCTATATAAATCCTTATAACACTATGCGAAAATAGTTGGGTATTGATTATATAGAGACAAACTGACAGGAAGCATAATAATATTGAATATGAATAAACTCTCCTTTAATAGATAAAGAGAAATTACTCAAGTAAATAAATTCTGTATGTAATTGAGCGTAAATGATTTTTAAAAAAATTACAGATTATTAGACAATTCTTATTTACGTTTCGTTGTTGAGCTTCTCCACAAGTTTGTAGGGAACGACTTTACTTTACCGGTCCCCAGAAAAACGCGCTAAAATATAGTGTCGCCGTAGGCGACTTCAGTATATATGAGATCGCGTGAGCGATCGAAAAAAATTAAAAGTATGAGGTTTTTAGCCTTTTTGACCCCAAAATCGAATTCTACAGATAAAAGTTTAGTTTAAAACTTCGTTTTTAAACTAAGTTTTAAACCTCGTTTTCTGAAAAAAGTGATTAATATTGTTTATTCAGTGAAAAGGAGACGAAAAATAATTGTCAACAGAGCGCGTGCGGCGCATGCTTAGTGCCGTTTCTTTCGTACTTAGCCATTTTTTCATGTAAACAAACCAAAGAGATGTCGTTAAAGCTGAATTAAGATCTTGCAAAAATACAGATGCAACTGAATATCTTAATTTATCTTTAAAAAAAAACAAGACACTAACCCTAATCCCTCGGATGGTAAGCGAGGACTAACCCAAATCTCCCGGGCGGATGCTAGACTAACCCATGTGCGAGGACTAACCCTAATCTCTCGGATGGACGCGAGACTAACCCTAATCAGTTGAAAACTTGTGCAAGGACTAACCCTAATCTCTCAGGTGGGTGCAAGACTAACCCTAACCAGTCAAAAAATGTGCAAGACTAACCCTTATCAGTTGAGTGACGTAAATCTTACGTCATAATGCAATGAGCGCGCGGATCTTGCGGATCTGGGGACCGGTAAAGTAAAGTCTACCCGTTTGTAGATGTAGGTTTCAGACTTATCCTTGATTTCTTGAACCAAAACGATGTCATATCGTGATAAAATCTGAAGAATTTTTTTAATGAATCCATTTGACAATTGTACATCATGTACCCTGATTACCATGCATATTTTATACTGAATTCAGTCATAAAAAATCATATATGGACCACTCTGACATTTTGCGATAAAAACTATTGTTACTGATACAAATTTTCTCCAATAAGCCTCATTCTTATTTTCCAGTAAAAATGCAAATATTGGATCCAACAGAGCTACATGTACACTTTCATTTCGGAAACATGACTATAAATGTCTATACCTTTACAAGTTCCTGGGCAACTTCCGGCTTTTCAAACTTGGTCTTCCCAAAAATCTGGATGTTGAAAGCTCCGATTCTAATGGGACCTTGATCCTTGAAATTGTCCAGTTCCGATATATCCCCCTCTATAGCCAGCAGGCCACAGCAAAACACCACAAAAGTCGCCTTCAGCTTCCACATGTTCCTTGTGACCATAAAGACTTTCCACGTATATTCTATCAGTCATAATTGTTAACCCGTTATATAATACCCTGTGTGCTTATTTTCTATTGCATATTCATTCCGTGTATTGACGAGCACATCACGGTTCAATAAAGATTTTAATGTTTATAAGATTGATCAAAAAGAGGGTCAATAGTTAAAGGTCTATTTTAATAAAAAAAAAAAAAATCAATGCACATTGTTAACTTAAAATATTCTAAGTATAACGCATGTAATTCATCGGTCCTTTTCACAAATTGACAAATTACATAATGAAAATATTATCATGCAGATTTTGTGAATACACAGAATTAGCTTTTTGAATTTTTGGCCTTTTCGTTGGTCCCCGATCGAGTGGCTTGGAAATAGGAGTAGATAACGGATTTAATTTCGGCTACACCCCATCAATAACTACTATAGATAATTATGGTTTAATATAGTACTATCAAAGTCTTTACTGTGGTATCTCAGCGTTTTACTATAGTAATTCAAAGTATTTTTCAGGCACGTTTTTGATAATGAAAGGAAGTAGTATTCGTATATTCACATATTATTTCCTAGTTTTTCCTCATGGTTTTCACATTTAAGAGATCATAAGCTTCGAAATCCCCCCTCACCCAAAAAATTCTTAAGTACGTATACTTTCATAGTGAATCAAAGTATCTAAGTATTTACTATAGTTAACTTTAGTAAACTATAGTTAACCAGTTATTTTTGTTGGGGTGCAATTTTTAACGAGAAAGAGGAGAGAGAGATCTGTTCGATCAATTTGATAATTTTATCGAAAAAATTATAAAAATACGAGTTAGTTTTTAGAAAGTCATCCAGGGAGGCATGTTCTGATTTTTTTCCCCTCACGGCCATATGTGCATGAGGACAGGGCCCCCAACATCTCCCCTTTCCATCTAGCCTTTTCGACTTTTTTCTTCAAAAATCATCTTTTATGACTGACATATATTTGAACTGATCCATACGTCAATTTGAGAAGAAAATGCCTGTAAAAAATCCTAACTCATTGTAGTTTTTTATATATAGAAATTTCTATAAAATGTCGTTTTCGGTATTTTATCGAATTGATGGCATCCATAATATCATAAGTATGTCATAAAAAGATAATGGGGGGGGGGGGGGGGTAAAATTAAAAGGCTCTAGAGTCTACATGGGAAAGGGGGAGGGTGTTCTTGTCCTCGGGCACCTATATCCATGGTCCTTTTTCTTTGCACTTATAAATTTCGTGATGTTTTCTGTGTCTACATCTTTATACATGTGCTTTTTCAATAAAAATGTAACTCTTAAATTTACTTAACTTGTAATCTGTCATTTACAAAATTATTTTATCAAAACATTCTGATTGTACACACAAGTACTCTGAAGTTGATATTCAAAAGATGTTTGAGTTTCTGATTGTTTGAGTTTTTGGAGATCAGGTCTTCCAACAATCTGTCGGAATTCCCATGGGTACCAATTGCGCCCCGTTATTAGCATACCTATTTTTATATTCATATGAAGCAGAATTCATTCAAAAACTTCTACATGAGAAGAAGAAGACACTTACTGAAGTGGCCTTCAACTCGACATTTAGATACATCGAAAACGCATTATCAAACAATAGTTACTTCCATTCATATGTCGACTCGATGTATCCCAGTGAAATTGAAAAGATACCACAGAGTCTGACACATCTGTTTCATATTTGGATATTTTACTAGAAAAAGACGTAAATGGTAAGCTAACAAGAAATTTCTAATATGATAAACATGATGACTTCAACTTTCCCATCGTCCACTTTCCTTCCTTATGTAGCAATATACCCTTATCACCTGCATATGGGGTTTATATCTCCCAGTTGATTCGATATGCAAGAGCATGCTTCACGTACGAACCATTTCTAAAACCAAGCAAGCTATTGACAAACAAGTTGATGAAACAAGGATATCAAGAATCTCGTTTAAAGTCAAAAGTTGAAAGTTTATGGTCGATACAATGACCTCGTCAGCAAATACAATCTATCATTATGTCAATGCTGACTGACGTTTTTCATACTAATTGTTAGGCCATTATTTAAACATTGAATTGTCAAGGATTTTTCCCGTTTTCCCGCTTAAAGACGTACAACACACCGGGGGAGATAACTCTGCAATTTCAATTTAACGTTTAACTTGACGTCAAATTTGACGTTTTTAATAAAGCGTCAAAATGACGACCGAATCGTACTCGAAGTAATTAAATGAAAACGGGATTAGGGACTTGATGTGGTTTCTTTAGAAATACCTAATCGTATCTTTGATTATTTGCGCTTTTGATTTAAAAACGGTCCCTCCCACCAAAATAGGGAAGAAAATAAAGATTATGTCTTGAAATTTCTTTAATTTTATATGAAACTCGTATCCGTGAACAATATTAGCAGAAAAATATTCTTTATCTGTGTGTGAGGGGGGGGGGGGGTACTTTTAGACCCCTCTCCTGTTTGAAATAAATAAGACCAAATAAATTCCATTTACCAGTGTTTTACATCATAGAAGAGTTGAATTTTCAACATTGTAAGTTCACTTTTAATGAAAAATGAGATTAAAATTCAATGTAAGTTGAATTCATACGCAGGTATAAAATTAAATGCATTTCAGCCATGGTTATGGACTATACATATTGGACACGTGGATAAAATCCTTAGAGAATAAGTTTTACTTTTATTCTAGTAGTTGATAGTTTAACTCTTATTCTAGTTTTCAGAATTTCAATCTGCATGAATGAATGAATGAATTGGTACTTCAGGGATCGATTTAAAAGATTAAATATATATCTCGAGGGTAACCTATTTTTCATCAAGTTCAAATGACTGCCTCCAAAAAAAAAGGGAGCTTCGCAAAAAATTTCCTATACATCTGCATTGCAATGAACTGAAAAGTTTTAAGAACTCTGATATATAATGTAAATAATTTTTCTAAAGCAAAAAATATTTTCTAGCTTGGAATTTTTCATGTGTATTTGTAGATCTAACAATATTTTCGTCCCACGTCTGAAAGACGCTTGAAAAACGTGACTTAAGGAGAAAGGGGGGGGGGGGTGATTTTTCACAATAAATTCAATTTGGCTCGTTTAAAAAAATTACAAAAAATTATCAAGATTACTTTTGTAGCCAGTTACATGAAAAAAGTATTTTATCCAAAATTAAACGATAGGTTTTACCATGAAAAAATATTTAAATTAAAAAATACGCATTTTTTAAGGCTTAAATTGACCATAGTTTTTCAGTCTAAGTTCTTCAAAAAATATTTTGCCAATGTGTACCTCTACAAAAATACTTTATTTGTGTGGTTAATGGTTATATGAATGAATCAATGAAATTTGACATTCAGACTAGCTGAACTTTTTTGATAATCAAGGATTTTATAGCTAGCCGATTGAAAATTTCTTCTCCGCGTGAACAACCAAAGGGTGGTAACTTTTGGAACTTCCTGTCCAAATACGACTCGAACGATTTTGTCCAAAAACATGCATACGCATTGAACGTATTGTCATGTATAATATACACTAAAACAGCGAAAATTAAACGACAGGAAATTTTTGGTGGTGGGTGTGTTGTACG